GGGTCACATTTGTAAGGGTCTACCTGGATGTACCATTGTCATTTCAAACTCAGTATATCTGTCTACTCCTCTTTACCTACATGGTAACCATGATGGCTCAGTTCTTCATAAATTCTAGCCTGGGCTACTGTCATAGCTTCCAAACTGAATAACCCTCCTTCAGTCTTTGCCCTCTCCAATACTCACTTCACATGACAGCCAAAACTGTCTTGTCAAAAAAAAAAATTTCAATTGAATCTGTATTTAACTTTAGTTTATGATCCATTTAGCACATGATGAATAGGGAGTATGGAAGGGAAGGGAGTAATATAAGTTAATCAAATAAACTTTATATGCCATGTTTTGGCAGTTAATGGCAAAATTAAGCTAAAATTTGCTATCTTCTAGCTGAATTCTTTGTAACTAGAAATAATTTTCTAGGACACCAAATGGTATGAATACAAGGATCTAGCAATTGAGTCCTATTATTTTCTTAGAAATAATCATTTTAAATGACTTTTTAAACTGTCAAAAAAAAAAGTCCAATGAAGATTATTTTAAAATTTAAAGTGTTATCTAAATGTGGCAAAATATTAATTTTTCAGCATGAGGTTCTTTGGCAGCAATGAAATATGGTTAAGAGAATGTGTCCATGTGGCAGACTGAACATGAGAAAGAGAGCTGCATTTTTCTCCCTTCATTTATACAGTTGTCAACTAAGTTATGGCTTTGCTTTTCATTTATTCAATATTGCTTTTTGTTTAAAATGCTGGGAATAAAAACTGTAAAATGCTTAACATGTTGTATTTTTTTCTGAAAGGTTCAGGGACCTAATCTTCTTGCTCTGTTTTACACTACAATAAACTATTGTTCTTCTGAGATGATTCTCTTGGCAATGGTGAGGAAAAACATAAGGTATTAAAACTGGAGGAGAGCAAAAGGAAATCTAGTAAATCCAATAAAAGCAAGACAAGTATTTGACAGATTACTATGGCTGTGGCTGAACAAAAAATACACAAACAAAAGATACTGGTCTCAGTATATGATAGATTCTTTTCAAATGACAACTCTGGTGAAAAGCCATTAATACTGTGATACATCAATACTATGCTTCTAATAGAATGAATTTCAGTTCATGAAAAACTATATCCTCATATTAGTCACATGAAAAGTAGAATATTTAATAGTTCATGCTTTACTTCTTAAATATCTAACAAGCCCTTTCCTCCTTGCAACTAAAAAATCTTTTATAAACATATCCAAAAAGGTCCATAAAAATTTATTTTTAAGAGAAGAATATCTCGTTATTTAATTCATGAAAATAGCTGTGATTTCCCCTCAAAAGCAGGTAACTGAATGTATTTTTCTGTCACATCCAAATGTTTGCTCTTATGCACACAAATCTTTGAAAGTCTGTTGCATTCATACGAATAGTCAATTTTTCAACAATAGAAAGCGAATTTTCTTTGAGAGTAAAAATATGATTTATTTTCTATTACATTTAAATTATGATTTTAAAATAATTAAAATTTTAAAATATTAAGAACAGGATTTATTTTATATTATATTTGAAGATGACCCAGCAGACAATAAACACTAATATTTTGCCTTCTTTTCCACAATGATCTGAATCTTCATAATCAGTATTCAGTACAAAAAGTAAGATTACCTCATAAATTTATCAATTTACCAACTAGAGTATTTAAAAAGATTTAATAATTTGAAAATTTTACTGGGACTCTATGCAAAAATGGTGTTTTAGATTTTATTTATGAATTCATTATTGATTCATCTCATATAGGCTGAATGACTTTAATCAATCTGAATCTTGACAGATAGTCTGATCAATTTCTAGTCACATGACCAACAAGATGGAGGACTAGACATTTTCTCTTATACCCATGACCTCTCAAAGCTCTACAAAACAGAAATTATATGCTAAAGATAAAGCAATTTCAGCTATCTCCATGACCTAGGACAACAGGACTTAAAAAATTAAAACGAAAAAAACCCATGAACTATTATTGCCTGCCTTGAGCTAACACAGCACCCTCTACCACAACACTTGCTGGGCTACCTACAGCAAGGCTCTGCAGTTGGCCCAACTTATGGCCTCACAATAAAACCCAATCCCACACTCCAGTCCCTACAGAAAGAGAGAGCTTTTTCCAGTGCCTTGGAGATCTGGGCTCTAGGCTATGGAAGTTTGCTGGTGGTCTTAGTTGCCAGTGCTGTGGCTGCATTCTGTTCTACAAAAGATTTCTGTATGACACTGGAGGAAGAGAGGGAATGGGGCAGAAAATGTGTCTACTCAACCCCACAACCAAACTCCTGACTGTCTCCTCCCAAAGCCAGAGAGAGATACAAACTACAAAAAACACCAGCTGCAGTAGCACACTATGGAAGTGCTCTGTACTGCTGGGGCAGGGAACTGAGGAACAAGGGGAATACGACAGGACATAGTGTGTGTTGGGGGGAGGGGGTTGGGGGCATATAGTACTCCGTTAAGCCTGAGGGAAAGGGCTCAGCATTCAGCTGAGACCAGTCCTGTCTCCCCAAAAGTGAATTGGAGCAGAGAACTAGACTGGTGAACTGTTAATTACCCAATGTGTGAGGAGACTGAGATGTTTTGAGATACATATCCTAGGGAAACCACTATGAGAGTGGAGGGAGTCAGAAAATGAGCAATAGAGGAAAATAAGAGGAAAAGACAGAAATTACCAAAGATTTCAGGAGGAAAAAAACTCAACAGCTTGAGCATAACCATATAAATTAACAGGGAAAACATTAACAGCAGAAAGAATATGGCCTCCAGATCTAGTAAAGAAGTTTATGAACAAATACTACAGAAAAAGGAAAATGACTTAACACTGAATGAGACAGAGACCCTGTGGAATTTGAGAAGAACACAGAACTACAACAAGCTGTTTCAGAGTGGATTAAAAGAAAAATAAGAATAATGAAAGCAGAATTAATGGCCTATACAGCAGAAAGAATTGGTAGAACAGAAAAACTTGGATGAATGTTGCCAAATCTCATCAAAGAAACAAAGGAGAGGACAACTGATTAGGAATGCAAAAACACAGAAGTGAAGGAGAATCTTGAAAAAGGAAAGCAATAAGCAATAACTTTAAAAGAAAACGTGGGTTTCAATTCAAGCAAAATAAAATGATCTTGCCGACAAAATGTACAGAGACAGCCTGAAGATTCTAGAAGATCCTAGAACAGAAGTCAAAAAACCAGAACAATACAATTCAAGAAACAATACAAGAAAACTGTAAGAAAACTTCAGAATACAGAAAAGGAAATATCAATTAAAAATTCATAGGTTGCCTCCAGAAAAAAAAGAAACATGCTCACAATTGAAAACTCCGAAACACATGGTGATTAAATTTAACAATTCAATTTAGAAATATCTGTTGGTAGCTGTACAGAGGAGTGAGAGGAGAAAGACTAGAAAACAGGTGACCAATTAGGATGCCACTTCAATAGTCTAGGTGAGAAGTGATGAATGCCTGTACTAAGCTGTGAGTAGAGAAAAGGGACACAGGAGAAAGAGATAAATGTGGAGGTAGAACAAAAAGACTTGGCAACTGATCAAATGAGATAATATTTGTAAAGTACTTTAGCACAGTGCGTCACACATAGCAGGCACTTAATGCTTGTTTCCTTCTTCCTCACCCTTCTCCCTCCAACTGGCTATGTGCGAGGGGAACTGACAAGGTGCTACTTCAGAAATTTATAGAAAATACTGAGTTCCCAAAAAACTGGGAAAAATCAACTAGGGCTTTTTAAATTCCATAATGCGAAACAAAATGCTTTGATTCTTTTAATTACTTAAACTGAATTGGCAGTCTTTTTGACATTATATAGACACAGCTTTATTGTTTATAGTTAACTCTGGATTATTTTATATTAGAATCCACCATCCCTGATGATGATTAAAACACCGATTTTCTGAACATGCTTACAATTTCCATTCTTGCCCAAACAGCTGCACTGCTACCTCATCCTACTATGTCTTGATTTTCTATGATGATTTCCTTACAATTTACTTGGTGGAATGACCATATGGGACTCAGAGCTATTTCCTATACCATTTCCTTGACTACCACATTTCTGAGCCTAGAATAATTACATCTAATGAGTATGCTTCTTGCTAAATAAAATCTGGAAATAAGAGTCAGATTCCACACAGTTTCAGTGACCTAATCTTGAAATATATTATCAGAACTGAAAGTGATAATTTAGGGTCAAAGTGCTGACTAAGGTAGGCTAGGGAGGGAAGGCTGGGGTACCAAATATTCCTAAAATAAAAGGGGACTGGGGAAATTTTGGAGAAAATTGAAGGAAATTAAAACCATTTCCATAATGAAAAATTAATACATGTAAAAATTTTTTAGTTAAATATAACTGTTTTCAATATATTAGAAGGAAAGTGGCTACTAGCTTTAAAACTTTATCATAGAAGCTTTATCTGCTGCCAATAGAATACAGGATTTCATGGAACACAATTTGGGAAAAAGGATCTAAGTAAATATCAGTGGTATTTGAGAGCTGTGTTTTTTGGCAAGTCAGTGAGCTCTTTCTATACCAACAGGAATTTTTGGTATTATTTGCTGCTTCTTAACAATATTTTTCCTATCAATATTTGAAGCCTTTTCAGCAACTAGGTGGCCCAGTGGATAGAGTGACAAGCCTGGAGTCAGGAAAACTCCTCTTCCTGAGATCAAATCTGGCCTCAGACACTTAATAACTATGTGACCCTTGGCAAGTCATTTAGCCATGTTTGCCTCAGTTTCCTCATCTATAAAGTGAACTGGAGAAGGAAACGAAAACCCACTCCAGTATCCTGTCCAAGAAAACCTCAAATGGGTTGGACCCGGCTGAAAAATGACTAAACTTCTTCATTAACACGGATAATGGAAAGTGTTACCTCACTTTGAAAACTATTGCAAAGTGGCTATGATTTCAATACAGATGGGAGGAAAGAATTAAAAAAAAAATTAAGGTAACCTTACATGGGTGAACAGAACTTCATTTTTTATTTCTTCAAAATTTTCGTTCGGAGTCCAAGCTTCAGCAAATTTCAGGAAATCCCACTTTTCTTTGTCACCTTCTTCTGCCTCTAGTTTCTCTTTCCTACCATTCAATGTGCTACCAGTAACGATGGCCTGCAGGATTGAGAAGCAGGTGAATTTTTCAGTTTCACATCTAATCTTATCTGTGAAAGTTAATGAAACCTTAACTTTATCTTACACTTAAGTCAGACACTATAGACTTTGAAAGATTTCTTTGTGCTTTAATGTTAATAGCATGATCTAAATATTTTTCAAAATAATTATTTGCTCACTGATACCCATATTTGATAGAAAAATGTCTCAGAGAACAACATTAAGATTTCTTAAAAAGTTTTTTTTTTAAATTTATTAAGAACAGAAAAATTCTCATACTATTCTGTTTGGGTGTTTAAATAATATTTTATTTTCAGTCTTTTTGAGTATCTGCACCCTTACCTTCAACAATCCATAACTTCATCAGTGTAGGCACTTTTTCCAGAATGCAGTTCAGAATACCTCTATTTCTCAGTAGGCCTTCTTGAGTTGTGTCTGAGTGGGATTTAGACCACTTACTCAAATAAAAACTCAGAGGTTTCTCCAGGTGGAAAACATAAGTTTTATTCTAGCAAGTCTTGCGAGAAAGTTGGGCGTCACCTACCCAGGAAGGACTGGAGTAGTGAGGCTTCAGCATGAGTTGGGCCTAAGTTTCACTTTCGTTTTTGGGGAATAGGGGCTGTGCACCAGCTGCCCACCCCTCCCTTGTTTTGTAACCCCCCCCTTTTGTTTTGTATCTCAACTTTACCAAATAAGGCAATCTTCTAGCTCCCAAGCATGTTTTGAGTAAAATGTATCTCTTGGGTTCTAAATATAGACTGTGAGGTCTCTTGCCTCAGCCAATGAGGATAAAAAGACTGAGACAAACAAGTGGGGAGAGGGGCTTTTTGGAGTGGTTTGCCTAAGACTATATAACTGCTTGCTGCTGTTTGTGCTGGGCCTCACTACTCCAGTCTGCCCTGGGTAGGAGATGCCCAACTCTTGCGTGAGACTTGAAACTTCTGTTTTCTACCTGGAGAAACCTCTGAGTTTTTATTTGAGTAAGTGGTCTAAATCCCACCTAGTTGGGGCTTGTCCCGGGATTTTCTTTGATTAGGGAGGGGCCTTCCTTGCCAAGGTTACCACCCAGTTATTGAAATAAACTGGAAGAGAGAGACTCGGAGAAACAGAAGGTTTGTTAGGGCTCCGACGATTAAAAACGAAACTGCAAAATTCTGGCCAGCCAGTGGGTGAGAGCAGTCACGTAAGTTGTATGCGTGCAACCCAGAGGTAAGCACTCAGGGGTCTGGAGGGGAGGTTACAAAACAAGGGAGGGGGTGGGCAGCTGGTGCACAGCCCCCATTCCCCAGGGTGAGGGCCCTTTAGGACAGACTCTAGTTTGGGTGGAATCCGGGCCGAGTCAAATTGCGGAATAGATATCTCATCAAAAGGACGCCGCTGAGAAAGCTTCATGGGTGACTGGTGAGGAGTGGGCGACCCTCCTCGGTGATTCGGCTGAGTCTGTCTTTAGACTCCGGGAGTTTGGTGATGGCTCCCATAAATTCCCTAGGTGAGGGCCTAGGGGGGTCCCTAGGAATGTAAGGGACAATCTAAATTTGCGCAGTCAGAGTGTAAATGTAAGGGACAATCCAAATCTGTGCAGTTGTGAGGTACCTATAGACAGTCCTTTAGGCAATCAATGGCAGAACTGGAATGAACTGCCAAGATATAGAGGAAAAGATAAACGGAAAATGATTGGATATGGCTTGATGATTTGAGGATTCTACAGGGCGGAGGGTTGCTGTATGTCTATTTTCTTTTTTGTGTTTGTGTCTGTGCGTGGTGTGAATGTGTGTTAACAGTGTTTGATAGTAAAAGATTTGGCAAGAAAAGCATTCCGAGTGCTGCAGCTGGACTCTGGAGTGTGGCTTTCTTTCTCTCCCCTCTCACTCACTGATAACGGCAGCCTCAAAAGGGTGGGGCTGGATAGAAGAGAGAAAGAGAGAAAAATACTTTATTATTTAGGTTATATGACTGGTAAAAAGCAAGTTGAGAAGGATTTTCAAAGTGTCAGGTCAGAATAAGAAAGAAATAAGACATGTGCAGTTTTAAAGGGACTTTAATCAAAGTCCATTAGAAAGAAAGGCAAGAAAGTTTAAGCATGTGGGAGAGAGGAATATGTATAGAAAGCTTAAGGAAGGTATAATTTATTTGCACGGTCTGAACAGAGGTTTTGAAACTAAGAAGGTTTTGAAAACTTTGGAAAAAAAATAATAATAAATTCTCTCTCTCTCTGCATTCTAATTCTGGCCAAATTTGAGTGTGGAGCCAAAGAGAGAAAAAGGGAACCTTTTTCCCCTCAGATCAGAGACAGAGGTAGCACTTAATCTTTTCTGCCTCTCACAAAAGAGAAAAGTTGTTGTGTACTAGAACATAAACAAAAGGTAATCTATGGGCAGCCCAAGGGGGATGTGCTGAGGGCTGCAGCTTGTTCGGGATGACTGGGTTCCACTGTTGCCGAGACCATGATGTTTCCCCAAGAGCCCCAACTCATTCAAATTGGTAAAAATGTGACGTTTTTAATTTCAGAACTTATTATACTGTCTGGCACTAAAGTAAATTGAAAGAAACTAAAGAACAGTGGAAAAATTGTGTAAGGCGAGTGAATGGTTAAGTATGCATAGTAAAACTGTAAAAGCAGTTTGGGAAGAGAGAGGGAGGGAGAGCCCTATTCAATTATCTCCCTTCAGATTTGCAAAAAGAAAGCTGAATAGCTTTAGATGGTTTAAGTAAGTTAAGAAGGTGTGAGGAAGTGGTCTGTTTAAAGTAGAAAGATGGAAAAATAAAATTCTTTTTTTCCCCTAATTTAAAAACCAATATATAAAGTTATGGAGAGATGGAAGGAATTATGTCCACCCACCTTTCAGGCTAGATCCATGGATGGGTTCTATTAAATCTAATATGGATATTGGCTATGATAAAGATATTGGTTATTATGAGTTATGATTATTACTGTTCAATTAATTATTAAGCTCCAGAGATGCCTACCTGGAGGGAAAGCAAAAAGAAGTAGTTAGCATATTGGCCACGTACATTTTAAACTGACCTGATTACAATAGGTGATTCTAAACTGTCTGTAAAACTTTCGCAAGAAAACGTGGACATGAATGGGGAACTGAAATATTAAAGAAATGTATGAATTTGTGGATAATATCCCTTTATAAAGGGCCAAGGGTATTGAATTTAGAAATGTGTATCTGTATAATTTTGAGAGCACCTATTGTTATTTGGCATTAAGAAATTTATTAACTATGTGGCCCCAGGAGACTGTTGAATCTGATGAAGGGGTCTAGAAACAAAGAAAGAAAGAAAGAAAGATTTTTTTTTATTGAGTCTGTTTTCAATTGTATTAGTTATGTCGCTGGAAGGACAATTTCTTTTATAATATGGAATGTTAAATTAATTGTACCTTCAGGAAAAAGAGAAAAAGGAATGAATCTGGCTGTTGGGGCATTCTATATGATCCTGTTTTGTAACATTTCCTTTTTAAATATTGTAATTTAAGAAAGCATAAAATTTCCAAATTTTGTCTTGATTTAAGGGGCATTTTCAGCTAAAATTGCTTTGCTACATTTGTGAGATTGTTGACTGGGTTGTTTGGGGTTACTGTTTTGATGTTAAAACCTAGAATTGTTAATTGATTATTTGTGTGTGAAAAGAAGGGACAAAAGGCAATTACTCCTTATGTTGAAAACATGCCAAGGTCTCTGGAAACCAACAGGGGGAGGGTTAACATAACCCCTCTCAAGATCAAATTGAGGGAACCCACTACAGTGGTGAGAGTAAAACAATATCCTGTATCTCTAGAGGAGAGGCAAGGACTTAGACCGGTGATTCACGGACTATTGAAAGGGGGACTTCTTGACCCCTGTATTTCCCCCTTCGATACCCTCATCTTGCCAGTCCAGAAAGGGGATGGAACATATAGACTAGTCCAAGATTTAAGGGAAATTAACAAGGTTGTACTATCATCCCACCCAGTGGACCCTGATCCCTACATGATCTTAGGAAGGGTAAATGAAGGCAGTAGGTGGTTCAGTGTAATTGATTTAAAAGATGCATTCTGGGCCTGTCCTTTAGACCCTAGTAGCAGGGACATCTTTGCCTTCGAGTGGGAGGATCCTGAGACTGGGAGGAAGCAGCAGTATAGACGGTGCGTCCTGCCCCAGGGGTATACAGAATCACCAAATTTGTTTGGACAAGTCCTTGAGAGAATCCTAGAGCTCCCCTTGGGACACAGGTATTACAATATGTAGATGATTTGCTGGTGACAGGTAAAAAGAGAATAGAAACCAGTAAAGGCTTCAATCAAATTGATAAACTATTTGGGATCAGAAGGTTTGAGGATTTCCAAACACAAATTACAATTTGTGGAACGAGAGGTGAAATAACTGGGACATTTAATAAGTGAGGAGCAGAAGAAGCTGGACCCAGAGTGGGTGGCAGGAATCCTTCAAACTCCCCTCCCCAAAACTAAGAGGGAACTCAGAAAGTTCCTGGGGCTAGGATACTACAGAAGTTGGATAGATTCGTATGTGTCCCTAACAAAACCCTTGTACCAATACTTATTGGAAGAAGAACCAGAACAAATTAGATGGGGCCCTGAAGGGGAGGGGGGATTTAAGAAGTTAAAGGAGGTCCTCCCCTCCCCTCCTGTTTTGACACTCCCCTCACTGGAAAAGCCCTTTCACTTATTTGTGAATATGGACAGAGGGGTAACACGGGGGTCTAGACCCAAATCGGGGGGGGGCAAAAGAGACCCACTGCCTTCTTATCAAAAATCTTGGATTCTGTGGCTACAGGATGGCCAACCTGTATTCAAGCAGTAGCGGCTACTGCTATACTAGTGGAGGAGGGTAGAAAGCTGACCTTTGGGGGAAGCTTGATAGTGAGTGTTCCCCATCAGGTATGAGCCATCATGAACTAAAGGGCAGGGAGGTAGCTTACGGATTCCAGAATTCTCAAATATGAAGCCATATTATTGGAAAAAGATGATTTAATATTATCACAAGATAACAACT